CCACGTATCAATCACTACTTTTGCGATATCTCTCCACTCCTCAATGTCTCCTGTGAAGATTCCTCACAAGCTGAGCTGGTGGACTTCTTCTTGGCCCTCATGGTCATTGCTGTTCCCCTTTGTGCAGTGGTGGCATCTTATGTCATTATTATCACAACCATTATCAGGATCCCTTCTTCTCATGGCCGCCAAAAAGCTTTTTCCACCTGTGCCTCTCACCTGACAATTGTAATTCTCTTCTATTCCACAACACTTTTCACTTATGCTCACCCCAAGCTTATGTATACCTACAGTTCCAACAAAGTGGTATCTCTTCTCTACACTGTCATTGTCCCACTCCTCAACCCCATCATTTACTGTCTGAGAAACCGTGAAGTAAAGTCAGCCCTCAAGAAGACCATATTTTGTAAATAAATTGGATCCAGGGAAAATAGGGCTTTGAGTAATTAAAAAAAAATTATAGTATCTCTTCAGGCCTGAATCAGGAGATGATTACTACATATTTTCTCCAACACTCTTGCTTTTTTGTATCTACCAACCCTCAGTACTTTAACATTGCTCTCCCATGTGTTGTCTGTGTGTGCACAAACTGTGTGTGTATGCACAAACGGCTAGAGAATTATATTTCCAAGAAGTAGCCTCTACTTCTAGGTCAGCAGAAAAGTTTAAAACATTTTACAAAAATTACTTGTTATAAAGAAGAGAAAGGGAGAAAAGGAGTGAGGAAGGAAAGAAAAGAGGAAGATAGATACTTTCTTCATTCAACTAACAAAAATAAATTTCAAAAAGGATAAGAGTTTAATATAAAACAATATTTCTACTCTTAAATTAGGGAAATGCTTTTTAACACACTATTTAGCCTAGAAAAGTAAAATAAAAAGATAAAAATCATGTAATGAATAATGTATAAAAGCTTTTAAAAATGGCAGATAAAATTTATAACAAATAACAAATGAAAATATTTACTATGTATATAATAATATATGATATCCTTAAATAGAAAAAAAAATTTTAAAATTAAATAAACCTGTAAAACTCTCTTAATGGAAAAATGATCAAGAACAGTGGTCCCAACGTTTTGTCACCAGGGACCAGTCAGTGCTCATATGAGAATCTAATGCCTGATGATCTGAAGTGGAGCTGAGGTAGTGATGTTAGTGCTGGAGAATGGCTGCAAATACAGATTAAGCTTTGTTTACTTGCCCACCTCCTGCTGTGTGGCCTGGTTGCTATGCAGCCTGTGGGGTTGGGGACCCCTGATTAAGAATATAAATATAATGAACAAAAAGATGTAAGTAGTTGTTATGGTTTAAATTGCGCCCTCCCCTAAGAAAAAAATATGTTGAAGTTCTAACATCTAATACATCAGAATGTGATTTTATTTGGAAATAAGGTCTTTACAGGGGTAATTAAAGTAAAATGGAGAACATTAGGGTCGGCTCAAATTCAATATGACTGATGTTCTTGTAAAGGGTGGAATTTTGGACACAGACATGCATAAAAATAAGACGATATGAAAACATACAGGAAAGAAGATGGCCATGTTACTGGAATAATGCATCTACATTGGGATAAAGCTCAGAAATGCCAATGATTGTTGGAAAACACCAGTTGTTAGAAGAGGAAAAGAAGCATTCTCCACAAAGCTATCAGAGAGAACACGGTCTTGACAAAATCTTGATTTCAGACTTCTAGGCTTCAGAACTCTTAGACGATACATTTCTATTGTTTTAAGTCATCTAGGTTTGAGTACTTTGGGTAGCCCTAGGAATCTAATATATTAGCCAAAAAGCCTCAGTCATATTTAAAACAAATATTTAAAAAAATTTGAATACCATTAAGACACTCCAACTTTTTAAATTGGTTATTGCTACAAAAAATATTACTCATTCTGGATAATAGTGTAAAGAAATAAGAATTCTTATCATACTGCCTGTGATTGTATAAATTATTTTAAACTCTGAA